ACAAATTCAGAATGGAAATAAGGTGTACATTTTATCAGTAAGTAATTAACCATTGGTGGATTCTCCATCACTGACAATTTTTCAATCAAGACTGGAGGTTTTCGTAAAGGATCTGCTCTAGGAATTGTTCTCAGGCCTGTGAATTGACAGTTGTGCCCTGTCCTGCCTCTCCTCCCCACAGCTAGAGTAAAGAAAGAGTGGGAGTTTTTGCACATTTGCCTTCCAGCCCTTCAGCATTACTTCTAGGGCCCCTTGCCAGAGCCAGCAGAGGATAGGGGAGCCTTAGCACTGATTGGGTGGTACAAAAAGTTCCCTCTCTGATTTGCTTTTCTGCTATTTCATGTAACATGTTTTTACTCAGCTACTCTGACGTGCACAGGTTTGGAGAGGTCACTACAGACACCCAAGCCTCACCAGGGTACCTGTTCCTTAGAGGAGGAGGTAGCCCTGGCCCAGGCTAAGGTTACCTAGTACTTTCCACTGCAAGAGCCTATTCATCTGCTAACAACTTTGCCAAACTCCAGCTATTCAGGCTGGAGTTCTCCACAGTAGCCCCTTTGCCAGACTGTGAGACATTTCAGCCATAGTTCGGCCATTTTAAAGAAGGCTGGGGGGGAGGGAGGGAGATCCATTGTTTGAGTTGTGTCCAAGAGGTTCTTGGGAGTTGTTTTATTGAGACATTCTAGCACTCCCTTGCTTTGGAGCAGGGACTTAAAACTTAGCAGAGGTGCCTTTGCTAGTCCACTGAAAATCTGCCCTCCTTTGACAGTTCTAAGCCTTGGAAAATCTACATTTAAAACCATCTCCATTAAGGGAGTGGTAAGGTGGCAGAGTCATGCACTCAGAAGTTAACCTGCATTCAGGCAGTTTCTCTCCACACACTTAATTCAGCCCATATACATTATGACAGTAATTACATTACCACATACTGTTTTCTGTAAGACTCATCCCTCATTCCCTTCCATGAGGGACAAAGCCTAGAAAAAAGCATTTTGCACAACCCCGGTTTACAGAGAGCTGTTCGGAACATTTCAAACTATCCCTCATGTTCTCAATAAATACAATTTTAATATATTTAAAAACTCAAGTTCCCCCTTCTCTTATGTAAAGAACTGCACATACAATTAAAACTGCAATACCTGTAAACAGTAGGAAGACAACATAAAAAAGAATTGGTGAATATTACTTCAAAGGAGCAAGTCTCAACATGTGTCTCATACGAGAGTCAAATGTTGTACACAGAGGGTGCCATACATACTGGGGCAATATAAAAAATGGCATACAAAATATAAATAAACTTCTCTGAAGGCTCAGCTTGTGAAAATTCTTAATGACGATGCAATACTGAAGTCATTGACCAGTCTCAAGAGAGATCCCCATTGGGAGCACGCATGTCCTAGGTCAGCGATCACATTTGTGCAGATGTCAGTTTTAAAAGGCTGTGAAGTATAACACTTTGGCAGAACAGTCTTAGCAAAATGAGCATCCTCCACCGGATGTAGCTTGACGACTCCAACCAGGATTCTTCCAGCTCAAGATTCCACACGAGTGGTGAGTATGCACGAGGACAATATTTCCAGGTATTCTAGAAAGCAAAGGTACAGCTTTATTGGTTTCCATTCATCCACTCCCAAAGTTCACATTAGTAACTCAGAGGACTCTACTGAAGCACTACTTCCTTCAATGTTTGAAGGCATCAGGACAGATAGAAGAAGCTGTCATCAGAAACAGCATCTGCACAGACTTACGAGTAAGAAGTGTTTTAGCAATTCTTAGATTTTCTACATGAGAGAGACCCCAGATCGTTGGCCATCAGTGGAGGCAGGGAGAAGCTGGGTGTGTGTGAAGCAGTTCTCTCTACTCTTACTTTCCATGTCTGATATCATCTAGCCAGAATGCCAAGGACATGCTACGGTGCAGGATGAGCACAGGCTAAGCTGGGCCAATCACTAGTGCACCCCTAGTGCTGCAGGGTCCTAGCTCTGGGGAGCACCTGGTCAAGGCCAGTTTAAAGCTGTGTAACAGTACATCAGTATGATCAGCTCCACAAGGCATTCTTGCCATGCAGAGGGTCTCATTGCATAACTCTACTATTAGAGTTAGGCTATGTCTACACTTAAGCCACTACAGCTGTAGCACTCCAGTGTGGACACTACCTACACTGACTAGAGGGAGTCTCCCATCAGCATAGGTGATCCATCTCTCCCAAGAGGTAGGTAGGTAGGTGCTAGGTCACCAGAAGAACTCTTCTGTCAACCTATTGCTGTCTACACTGGGACTTCGGCAGGCTTAACTACACTACTCAGAGGTGTGGATTTTTACACCCCTGGCTGACAGTTAAACTGATCTAATTTTCTAGTATAGACTAGGCCTAAGTTGACAGAAAAATTCTTAGAGTGACCTAGCACTGGGGACATCAGGGTTAGATCAGCAACGCTACGTCCCTCAGGCGTGTGGAGTTTTCCATACCCAGGAGATGTAGCTATGCCAGTGTAAATTTCCAGTGTAGACCAGCCCTTAGAGGGAGATGGTTATTCCACTATAATAGACCCATACAACTGCTTTCAAAACACTAAAAATTCCAGTCTGGTCTGCCCTGGAAGATTCCAGTGACTGGAGAATTAGTAAGATTAGGACATCACAAGAATCATTAGAATGTTGATCAAGGGGACAAAAGTTTAGTCAAACTGTTTAGAACTTGTGCAAGTGTATTTTATTCCAGTGACTAACAAACAGTCTGTTAAATTCAGTGTGCCTACACCTAGTGTTAAATTGCTCTAACCCTGATAGGTCCTTCAGGAAAAGGACAGCTTCGACCAGAAGTGACATTCTTAATATTTCTAAAGGTGGTAAACAAGTAGGGAAGAGATGCTGGTGTTATATTAGTGCTTATTATATTCTCCCTTTGTGGGTAACAACATCCAACAGGCTAGTGAAAAACTAACAGAATAGCATGGCACATGAGATCTAGATCTACATCTAAAGACAAACTGGAAAAGAGCTTAAACATTAAGCTTTAGATCCATTTCTGTCTTATGTATCAGGGAAGAGGAACTAGGAAAGGGTTCCTTAAAGAACTGGAGTTGATTAACAGGACAGTTGCTTCAAAAACCTATGTAGACGAGGAGGTAGCAACCTCAAAACCTGTGATCAAGTCTATTTAGAATGACACCAATTTGCAAAGTAACACCATTCAGATTTCTTCCATTCTCCTGCACCCTGCTGATACAATCCTGGGGGGGGGAGGGGGTGTGGTGTGGTAGGGGAAGTCCAGCAGCACTGAGACATCTCACACAGCTGTGTGAGAGATCAGCACCATTCATATGCCAGCCAAAGGCATTAACACACAGCTGGAATCCAGGTGAGATTCACCCCAGGCTGACTGTCAAGGATTTTACAAAGCAGTCACCTTCCTCTCTAGGCTGAAATCCCATGAGAGTTGAAAAATATTACAGGCTTGGCTACACACCCAAATTATTCTGGAATAAGGTAGGGGGTGAATTTAAAGCAGAACAGCTATTTCTGAAGCTCTGTTTAGCTGCACTCCAAGAAATCCACTGAAGACTGATCTGGAAAACGGTGACAGATCCCTTTGTCCTAAAGCAGGGGTCGGCAACCTTTCAGACGTGGTGTGCCAAGTCTTCATTTATTCACTCTAATTTAAGGTTTCGCATGCCAGTAATATATTTTAATGTTTTTAGAAGGTCTCTTTCTCCAAATCTATAATATATAACTAAACTATTGTTGTATGTAAAGTAAATAAGGTTTTTAAAATGTTTAAGAAGCTTCATTGAAAATTAAATTAAAATGCAGAGTCCCCCGGACCAGTGGCCAGGACCCAGGCAGTGTAAGTGCCACTGAAAATCAGCTCGCGTGCTGCCTTTGGCATGCGTGCCATAGGTTGCCTACCCCTGTCCTAAAGCAACAGAACTAATTTGTTACAACACAGGATTTTCCCTTAAGGTACAACTGAAGGCAAGTTGGGTCAGTGTGCAAGAGCAGCTGGCTAGCTCATCACAGGCTCATACAACACCATATTAAATACTCCAGTTCATTCAGAGCTGTAACATTTTCCAGATTGTTTCAAGCCTGCATAAGCTCTGCTGGTGCCAAACCCACTGCATCAATGTAAATCGTATTTTACAGTGGGACTCACACCAGAGCATCCACAGCAGTGGCTAGAAAGCACTGGAGATAAATGGGCATAAGCACTGGACCTTAAGTACAGATGTACTTGTCTCTTCAGTAAATGCTCTCTAATGCTACTTAAAACATCCATCCCCTTGCTGCAGTAATTGAATAATATCAGTTTACATAGGCCACAATCCAATCTGGTCACCCAGGGGCCATCTATTGATCAGACACAGAAGAAAGTAGTGAGGCATCTATGCGAGACATGCCACTGTTGGTACAGCTACTGGACATGCCACTGAGGGGAGCAGTTGGTTTGGTTCAAGTCCGCCAAGGAACTGGTGTCCTCAGAAAAAAGTGGCTTTTCCCAGGCTGCCAGCCAAAGGACTGGGCAGTGGGTGCGTAAGGTGCAAGGGAGTTTCTGCTCACCAAAGGGTTAAACAGACGTTACCTTAGGACCTTCTTGGGCTCTTTTGCTGCTCTCTTCTCAGCAACCTCACCCTCAGAGGCAGCAGGGTCTAGCGGGCTGAGCAGGGGCTTGGAGGACACCTGGGTTCGAGTCCTGTCCCCTGTGGCTTGTGCAGCCAGCCACCATCGGGCATCACTCCATAGAGCCCACTGGCTACCCCAACTGGGGACCCAGGCCTGGGCTCCAGGCTCGCCCTGCCCTGTACACAGCTCCTGCGCTGGAGACCGCAACCCATGCAGAGCCATCGGACCTAGCCCTGCGCCCCGGGGCTCCTGCGCCCGATACCGGCTCTGCGCCCCGTCCGCAGCCACCGGGGCCCAGTCCCTCACGCGGGGTCTCGCCCTGCCTTGTGCGCGGCAAGCGGAGGACACTGGCGGTTACCTGCCTCTCCGGCGGACTCTTACACCAGCCGGTCCCCGTGCGCCCCCGGGCTCTCCATGGCGCACAGGCGGCGGAGCTCCAGCGACCCGGGGGCCGGCGGGGAAGGGCAGGGCAGCGGCGGGCGGCGCTGGGACAGGCGCTCCGAGAGTTTACTAGCCAGGCGGAGCAGGCTGGAGCGCGGCCCGGGCGGGGGGCTGCGGGCCCCCGGGGGCAGCTCGGAGGCCGGCACCCCGCGCAGGTTCCCCGTGTACCACAGCAGCCAGCAGAGCAGCGAGAGAAAGAGCAGCAGCGCGCCGGACAGCACCAGGCAGTCCCCGTACGGCCGCCCAGCCCGGGCCGGCTGTACCACCGACCCCACCAGCGTCAACGCCAGCCCGGCTGCATCCAGGGCCAACGCCCCAAGCAGGAAAAGCGCGCAGCGCCCACAGCCGCAGGCCATAGCGCCCACACCTGCAGCGCCGCGCACTTGGCTAGAGCTAGCTAGAATAGCTTTTGGCCCCGCCTCCTCTACATATAGCACAAACCACGCCCACTCCACAACAATTCCGCGTCCCGCGCCCACCTGGTCTATATAAAGCCTAGACCACGCCCATGCCTCACATCAGCCGACCCTCAGTGCTGGGATCCTCCTGACTTAATGGCTTGGGGGGCTGGAGTGAGGCTGGGGGGCTCTCATCCCCCTTTAAGGGCTGTGCTGCCCAGCCCTGAGCTGCAGTGCTGCCATGGCTTTACACAGCTGGGGGGGGGGGCAGGGAAGGTTAGTAGTGAGAATGGGTAGAACTGGCAGCTGCCATAGCTGGTGATTGAACAGGAGCAGTGGTGAGCAGAGGGGATTTGGCACCCTTGTGTTGTTCCTATGAGGAGCTCTAATGCTGCTGCCCTGTATAATGCTAAGCAGTGCTGTGCCTCAGTTTCCCCTTCAGTAAAATGAAGATCATAAGCCTGTGCCTTTGTACATAGCTTTGAAAACTAGAGGAAAATCTATGCCCCTGAGAGATGCAATTAAGCAGACTTGAGCCTCGGTACAGACACTGCTAGGTCAATGGAAGAATTCTTTTTTCCACCTGGCTACTGCCTCTCAAGGAGGTGGATTTACTACAGTGATGGAAAACCTCCTTCCATGACTGTACTAAGGGTATGTCTACACTACAGGATTAATCCGAATTTAGATAATTCGAATTTGGGAAACAGGTTGTATAAATTCGATTGTGCGCGGCCACACTAAGCACCTTAATTCGGTTTTAAACCACATTAATTCGGTGGTGTGCGGCCACACTACCCCATTAACTTAAATACAGTAATTCGGTGGTGTGCGTCCACACTAACCCTAATTCGAATTAACAAAATCGATTTAGGCTCTACTCCGTTCGTCGAGGTGGAGTACAGAAATCGATTTAAAGGGCCCTTTAATTCGAATTAACTGGCTCTGTAGTGTGGACGGGTGAAGGGTTAATTCGGATTAAGGCAGCTAAATCCAAATTAAAGTCCTAGTGTAGACCAGGCCTAAGTGTCTAGACTACAGCAGTGTAGCTGTAGTGCTGCAAAAATTGCAGAAAGCAATGTAATTTCAAGGGCCACAATCTCCGTTTGAATGTGTTGCTCCAGAGCGGAGATGCCAAGTTGCATGTCTTAGTACTAGCATCTGCAACCCTTACCTGCTCAAACCCATTGTAACCTCTCAGCAGAATTTAGACTCTTCTTGGGCTTATCTACTCATGGAGTTATTCAGGAACAGCTATTCCTGAATAACAACATGTGTGGATGCTATTATTCTGGAATAGGAGCACCTTGTTCCTGTTTAGCTTGACCCATGCTTAACTTCATGCATTGTCAAACCAGGATGAGCTGTATCAATGCAAGTTAGTTTTTAGGTGGTGAATCTACTCTAGGGGTTTGCATCATGTTGCTATGGTGGGGAAAGTACAGATTGTAGACAAGGCCACAGCTTTCCAGCTTGCCAGAAATGGGGCGGGGGGGGGGGGGGGGGGGGGGAATATGCAGGAGACAATGAGAGCTATTACTAGGAACTGTATGTAGGGATTGAGATTTGGGGTGAGGCTCATGGATTTCTTATTCAGATTCATTTGGTGCCATATACAGACAGTAACTAACAGTGTATTCAGTGTAAGGAAACACACTTTTTGTTGCCTAAAGGTGCTTGTAACAGAGCTGGTCAGCCACTAATGGGTGAAGAAGATATAGATAAACCCAGTGATTTGGGGAGTGTTCAGCTCAATTTGATCACATTCATCTTCTATAAAACATTGCAGCATTTCCCAGTAAGAGCCCCCAACACTGCACCCTTGTCAACTTTCCTATTTTGAGGCATTACTGCAGAATACTCCAGCACTGATTTATAAAGCTGACAAAAATCCACAAACTGTCTTATTTAAAAAAAAAATCAGGACCATGTTACTTTTACTGGTTAGACATAGCAAGAACCAGTAATCTCCAAGGTTGCAGAGAAGATATAATCCAAGCAAACACAGAACACGTGGTCACAGATTTTCCAGCACAGAGCATTCTGGTTTACTGTGGGCTCTGAAGAGAAGCACTTATTTGGTGCCTCAATCTTGCATTGTATGTAACCCCAGGGGCAATTGCTAATTGCTCTGTTATCACTAATTAGTTACACTGTCATAGATTCCAATTGCAAATCTTATCCAGGGATGGTATCTCTCATCAGGGCTAAGCCTTGATCCAATCCCTGCTGGAGTCAATAGCATGGCTTAATTTTCCCTTTCCAAAGGTGGTCTGAGCACCCACTGTTCCCTTTGAGTTCACTGGGATTTGTGGGTGCTCACTGCTTCTAAAAACCAATTGCTAATCTACCAGCTGTCTAAAGGGCACACAGAAGGAGCTCCCAAATGTGTTAAACTTAACGGTTGTTTGCTGCATTGTAGCCATGTTGGTCCCAGGATATTAGAGAGACAAGGTGAGGGAGGGAATATCTTTTATTGGACCAGTTTCTTGTCTCTCTCCCCAACAGAAGTTGGTCCAATAAAAGACCTTGTCTCTTTAAACTTAAAGGGACAGACACCATCCATTTGCAAATCACTCTGAAAATATTTAACCTGTGATTGTGAAAAGAAACAGATCACTAGAATGGAGACATTAGAGAAAAAAGCATTTGTCTCTGGTTTTCAAGGTGTTTACGCTGTGAATTTGTTGGCTCTTTGTGTCTGGTCTATTTCACTGTTTCTCCCGAGTAATCAGCTGAGCTCAATGGGGCCAATGTGAGTAAAGTCACTGGTGTGGAAGCATTGGCAAGATCTGGGCCTCATTGATTTATTTGTATTGCAGAATAGCCAGGAGTCTTAATCACGACCCAGGCCTCCATTGTGCTGGACGTTGGACAAACAGAACAAAGGGTTGGCCCCTGCCTTGGTTTTCCCTCTCTTTGTGCTGGTCTTTCACTCAGTAACAAGGGACAGAAAATTTTCTTTTTAAGTACAAAAAATGTGACTGTAGAAACCAGAGCCAGTGGCAGGGGGCTCAGGGATGAAGCCAACAAGTGGAACTACTTCAGACTCACCTTTGGAATCTGACTGGAGACTAGAGTGCCCCTTGAAAGACACAGCTTGCCTATTTACATGCTGCGAAGGGCTAGGGTTTGTATTGTGCACTTCCTAGTTTCATTCAGGATGCAAAGGGCTGGTATTTTAGACCAGACGAAAACCAGGCTACACTGGAAATCTCAGGAAAAAGCCTGTTCCTGTGACATTACCTGCCCAGCCTCCAGACAAAAGAGGTTGGAAAACAGATAAGCATCTGAGAAGCATCTGGACTTTTAGCTTTTTAGGCATGCTGAACCTCTGACCCTTTGGCAGTTCCCCCCACATGCCAAGTTCACCCAGGATACGAGACTGCTCCCATCCTAGATGATTCTTCTGCTGCATATGGCTTACAGAAGATCATATCCATAGAAGTGCTTTAAATGTCCTCAGCCAGGGCATTTTTAAGTAAACAATTTCCCCTTCTGTGCTGGCTTCTGCTGAAACATGATATTCCCACAGAGTCAGTGAGATCCACCAGAAAAATCAAGACTACCTGCATTGCTGCAACACCTGGCTTCTGACAGAGGGGAATTTCCCTGAGCCTGCAGGCCCGCCACTCTTAAGAGATAGCACCCGGCATCTCTGGAGGGCTGTAGTGCCACTGGGATCTCACGTCCTCTTGTTGCAGCTCTCACAGCGGTGTCATTTTCTGCTCTGGGTGTACTTGGGCTGCAGAGTCTGTTGTTGTTAATGTTGGGGCCATGTCTACACTAGCAGTGCTTTACTGGCATAGGAATACCAAGGTACTACACTTGCAAAGTGCTTCTAGTGTGGCTGCAGCTATACCAGAAAAGCTGAGCATTTACCACTGTATCGAAACTGCCCCCCACGAGTGAAACAAGCTATACCAGTAAAAGTGCAGCCTTGCTGGTAGGGCTGTGTCTACACTAGGTGCTAGTCAGGGATCACACTTTTTCCTATCCCTGCCCGACATGCTGGGAGAAGTCTAATGTAAGCATAGCCTAGGACTGAAATAGAGATTGGATATCGATAGGGATATCAATCAGCATATCCCGAGTTATTGTGATTACTGACAATACACATTTTGGAAGGGACATTACATCTTGCATGAAAACGCAAGGAACTAGCTTTTCCAGAGGTGGTTACATTGACTCTGCAGTAAACAGAGACAGGTAAATACCTGAGGCCTGGGCTGCTCTAGGAAAGTGGGTCGGTATAACTGTCACTCTGGGGTGTGAAAAATCCACACCCCCGAGCAACGCACTTAGTGACCTAACCTCTTGTGTAAACAGCACTATGTTGACAGGAGAATTCTCCCATTGACCTATCTACCTCCTCTCGGGGAGGTGGATTAGCTATGCCAACTGGAGAAGCCCTCTCCTGTTGGCGTAGGTAACATCTTCACTGAAGCGCTACAGATGTGCTGCTGCAGCATTTTAAGTCTAGACAAGCCCTGAGGGCTGCTGGGATGTAGGTTAAATACATGGAAGGGTTTCTAATTTTTGTGAGTGAGTGAGGAGTGTTTGCAATTTCTGTTCTTGGGGAGCCACTACAATCCACGCCAACATCAAGGACTGACGTACATTTTTTACAGTGAGACTAATTAACCGCTGGAGCAATTTACTAAGAGTTGCGGAGGATTCTCCATCATGGGCAATTTTTAAATCAAGATTGGACGTTTTTCTAAAGATCTGCTCTGGGAATTATTCTTGGGAAGTTCTGTGGCCTGTGTCGTGCAGCAGGTCAGCCTAGATGATCATAATGGTCCTTCTGGCCTTGGAATCTATGAAAAATAATGGGAAGATACTTGGATTCCAGCAGCACCTTGCTGTTAACATGGAAGTAGACACTGGATTAGTGATTCCAGCTCTCACACACAGGGGTGACACTGATCTTTGGATCCAGGCTCGGAAAGGAACAT